TTACAGACGTCATTACAGACCAATATTACAGATGCCATCAATATAACAGACATCATTACAGACACCATCAATATTACAGACACTATCAATATTACAGACACCATCAATATTACAGACACCATCAATATTACAGACGTCATTACAGACACCATCAATATTACAGACACTATCAATATTACAGACGTCATTACAGACACCATCAATATTACAGACACTATCAATATTACAGACACCATCAATATTACAGACACCATCAATATTACAGACGTCATTACAGACACCATCAATATTACAGACACCACTACAGACGCCATCAATATTACAGAGGTCATCAATATTACAGACGTCATTATAGACACCATCAATATTACAGACACCACTACAGACGCCATCAATATTACAGAGGTCATCAATATTACAGACCTCATTATAGACACCATCAATATTACAGACGTCATTACAGACACCATCAATATTACAGACGTCATTACAGACACCATCAATATTACAGACGTCATTACAGACACCATCAATATTACAGATGCCATCAATATAACAGACACTATCAATATTACAGACGTCATTATAGACACCATCAATATTACAGACACCACTACAGACGCCATCAATATTACAGAGGTCATCAATATTACAGACCTCATTATAGACACCATCAATATTACAGACACCACTACAGACGCCATCAATATTACAGACGTCATTACAGACACCATCAATATTACAGACACCACTACAGACGCCATCAATGTTACACACTATAGAAAAAGGTAAAAACAAAAACCTAATTGTTATGCATAAAACAATAGCTCCACACATGTTTAAATTCAACTACAGACATCTAAGATCAACAAGAGATGTTCTTTAAAAATATAATGTTACCCAAATAGATGTGAAAATACACTGAGATTGCTTAAGCTCACAATTAAAGGGAGATAAATCCATTTAAACCAAAACTCCTTTCACTCCAATAACAGAATTTCTCTGGCAAGCCACTTCAAAAAACATTTTTTGAGACTCTTCATAATCATCTCATTAATCATGCAGGGATTCG